AGGTGATAAAGGGGAGCGGCGGCAGCGTCCCGCTGGAGAGCCTCGACTTCTTCGGGCGCAAGGAGGGAGCCCCTCCGGGGTCTGCCGAGGAAGGCTGGGGGCTCGCGGGGGCTGGAGAGGAGGCAAAGGGTGGAGACCAGCAGAAGGAGGACGGAGCCGGGAATAACGACGGAGAGATGGCAGGAAAGAGAAGAAGAAAGGCAGAAAGCAGCGGAGGGAAAAGGAAAAAGAAAAAAACGCGAGGTATTTATATATACGCACGCGTGTCCCAGACAGAAAGCTCTGATGTCGTTTGTGCTTCTTGCTTCTTTCAGTTCACTTTAAATCTGCAGGTACTGTAGGCCATTTTACCGGGGAAAAAAGAGGCTTCTGAGTTCTTTGGCCGGCCTCTGTCAGAGCTGATAAAATAATCGGGCCAAGATTCAGTGTTAAGGCGTGAGGATGTGGTTGCCACCCTCCTGGAGTCTTCGCTAACTTTAGTGAGAATGAGAGAAAAGAGGTTTTGAGGTGACCTTTTTTACCAAATAATTTTTGATTGGATTTTATTACCGGAAATCTCAATTTTTTTGAAACTTCCAGAAGCAGCATCAATGCCAGAGCTGTCAGAAAGTAATGGAATAAAGTGGATGTCCTCCCTGGAAGCAAAATTCGAAGATGCGAAAGACAAAAAACCTACTGCAGAAAAACTCGAACGCTTGAGAAGAGAAAAGGTGGGACCACAGAATTCTAATGTAGCAACAGATAACTGGGTTTCTGTGGGTGTTTCGTCTGGAAATTGAGGTTCATTTCTGGTAATTTCTCTTGGGAGGAGGGTGACTGAGTGTGGGGAAAATAACCAGAAGCTGAATCCATGTATGTTTAGTTTTATGCTGTCGAAGAAAGAAAGAAAGAAGAGTTTGTCTTTTGCCTTTTAGATAAACCGCTTCAGAAATCAACACAAGATTACTGTTCAAGGAACAGATCTTCCTGACCCAATCGCCACATTCGATCAACTTCAAAAGGAATACAAAATCCACCCTAAAATCATGGAGAATATTCAAGCTGCTGGCTTCCAGGTCCCAACACCAATCCAGATGCAGGCTATTCCCGTCATGCTTCACGTAAGTTTTCTGGTACTGCATTTTATTACAGGGAACATGGCAAAATTTGGAGAGCGGCCTCTCTTTAGGGTCACGGCAGTGGTTAGTTGCGCGGCTTTAGAGGTATATCAACTGCATCAGAGTTCAAAACTTAGCTGTTACAATATTCTTGATCTGTGTTTTTACTAATGTATTTTGGGGTAGTCTATAGCATTAATATTTATGTGAATGTGATTTTTGGGTGGGTGGGTTTTCTTCCTCTTTTTTTTTTTTTTCCTAGTAAAATATAACACCCTTCTTGTTTTTTCTTACAGGGTCGGGAACTTCTAGCTTCAGCTCCTACTGGGTCTGGAAAAACTCTGGCATTTTGTATTCCTCTCTTGACACATCTGAAACAACCTAGGAACAAAGGATTCAGAGCGCTGATCATATCGCCTACCCGAGAACTTGCTAGCCAGGTGTGTGTTGAGGGCAGAGGGGTTGTTGTCATATTGATGTACTTCAAAGTTTTCACTCTGAATCAGTAAAATAGCAGCTTCGTAAATATTTTTTTCCTTTATTACCCTCAGATATCAGAAAAAGCTAATTGAAATGTGCCTTTTGTCTTCTGTGAAATAGCTACATATCTAGCATCTCAGTCTAACCTAGATGATTAGACTAGGGGCTCAAGATTCTTTGATCATATTTTAAAACTGCCCAATGCTTAGGTGCTCTTAACACCTACCTTCATATTTGAGATTGCTACAAGAGTTTTATCTGTTTGTCCCAAACACAAAATTTCAACAAATAACTTCATATTGAGTCTTTGTTATTAAACTGAAATAAAAATTGCAACTTCGGGCAGAGTTCTGTTTTTATTCAAATAGGAGAGGGGGCTTATGGGAGCCACATCGTTAGAGTCAAAATACGGTAGCCAGACCTGTGAGAACTTCCAAGTGAGTAATATGTGTTAGAAAGTTGCATTTTTATTATGCTAAGAAGACTAGACAGCTTTCTCTTAACACTGAAGTCAGGGTGATGTTTGAAACTGTAACTTAGGGATTGCCTCCAGTTTTTCTGGTCAGAAAAGCTAATCAGGTTGGTTTGAAAATTTAATCCCTGTTGCTGCCTTCTCAGACACATCGGGAGCTGGTGAAGTTGGCTGAGGGGACAGGCTTCAGAATACATATGATCCACAAGGCAGCTGAAGCAGCAAAGAAGTTTGGGCCCAAGTCTTCTAAGAAATTTGGTAATTGCTTTAACTACTTGAAGTGCTCCTGAAAATTTAAAAAATGTCACTGTCTTTTCTCTTCTGGCCCGTGCGGTTTTAAAGAGATCAGTTAATACCCCTCAAGACGTGCAATCTATTGCTCAACACTAAAAAAAAGTAGCTGGCGTGGAAGAAATAGGAAGTGAGCCTGACAGTGGACCCTGTTAAATTGTACCTCTGGCAGATTGGATTGGAGCTTGTTTCTCAGGGCTCTGTTAGTCTGGCTTATTTTGTGTCTTTTTTGATGGTTTGCTTTTTTTTTCCTCCCCCTATAGATATACTAGTTACTACTCCAAACAGGCTCATTTATTTGCTGAAACAAGATCCTCCAGCAATAGACTTGACCAGGTACTGAGAATCTTTATCAAATCTGGCTTTGCTGCTAGCTTTGCCACTGAAAAGCGGATGCGTGCGTCGTCCTTGCATCTGTGATGGTCTGTTAGAACTTTTGCCTTCTCCACAAGTGACTCTTACTGAAAAGAAAACCTCTCTGTTCCTAGTGTGGAGTGGCTGGTGGTGGATGAGTCAGACAAGCTGTTTGAAGACGGGAAGTCGGGGTTCCGAGATCAGCTGGCCTCCATCTTCCTGGCATGCACGTCCCACGTGGTGAGAAGAGCCTTGTTCAGCGCAACCTTTGCGCACGATGTAGAGGAGTGGTGTAAACTCAACCTTGACAGTGTTGTTCTGGTGTCTGTTGGAGCAAGGTAGGTGTGCAGTTGCACCCTGACTCTCTCGTGGTTTTTTCCTTTCCTGGGCAAATTATTTGCTTTCTTTGCATCATCAGTTTGCTTGGTTGTATGTCTCTGTTGTTAGTCTTAGTACTGCAGGTTGTTTGTCTCCAGAAAAAACTGCGTAGGCATACAGATCTTTCTCACATGTTGGGGAAGGTGTTGTTTTCCTTTACCCGTTACTTTATCATCAAATAAAGATTATTCTTAGAAGCGTGTACTGGTGAAATAAGTTTGTCGTGCAATATTTCTCACTCACCACGTAATATTTTATGGTTTTTAGTGTTTATAAGTAAACCCTAATGGGGTTTATAAGTAAACCATGTTTATGAGTGTTTATAAGTAAACCATGCTTCTGTTGGATTTCTGGTTTCAGAAACTCCGCAGCAGAGACAGTAGAACAAGAGCTGTTGTTTGTTGGATCTGAGACAGGAAAACTAACGGCAATGAGAGAGCTTGTTAAAAAGGTATTTTGGAGAGACTGAGTATGTTCTGCTTACTTCTGAACTGAGCTGTGTGTTCTGTCAGAGACTCATAATTTCCTAGGGCAAAGACTTCTCTGTGACACATGTTAAACCATTGTCCAAATCTGCTGTACAAGAGGAAGAGTAAGTACCCTACCTATGAAAACTGAGAGTGTTCCCCATTCTTGGTTATATATTTGAGTCTTGCTTAGGAGCAGTTTGTATTAACAGTCTGTTTAATTTACTTGGCAGTGTGAGTGGGTTCTTCACATGGGGTGGAGAAAAAAAAAACACCTGTTCATTTCTGTGGATTAAAATGCAGCCTGATGCTTAAGTTAGGAACCATTCCATCAAAGGCAGTGGAGCTGAACTTGCTTAGTTCTGACTCCCAAAGATTTTGCTAGTCGGGGAAAAAAAAAAAACCAAAAACCCCCATCCTTTAAGATGTAAAATACAAAGGCTGGTTAAGTCTCTTCAGTAGCTCAGTGTCTGCAACCAATAATGGTAAGAAAAGGACTCGAACCTTAGACAAGCTTATTCTTTTGCAGGGTTTTGCTCCTCCGGTCCTTGTTTTTGTACAGTCTATTGAGAGGGCTAAAGAGCTTTTCCATGAACTTATTTATGAAGGCATCAATGTGGATGTCATCCATGCAGACAAAACTCAGCAACAGGTAGGAGGATATAATTTCTTTTCATGAGCCACTTTACAACACTCTTGCTTTTACCTTTCTTTCTAAGGTAACTTCAGGTAACTTTGACAGTAAATTACTGCAGGTTTTTGTTCAGAGGTTTAGTCATATTCATTAACATCACGTCAACTTTCAGGAAACAAGTTCACCTCCTTTCTCAAATTGCTAATTAGGCTGTTTCCACGTACCTTTCGTTTCTTTTCTTTTCCTAGAGAGATAATGTAGTACACAGTTTCAGAGCTGGGAAGATCTGGGTGCTCATCTGCTCAGCCCTACTAGCTCGAGGGATTGACTTCAAAGGAGTGAATATGGTCATTAATTACGACTTGCCAACGAGTGCAGTGGAATACATCCACAGGATAGGTGAGTGATTGTTCACAAATTATGTGCTTTCTCTCATTTCCTAGATCTCTAACGTAGATGCTCTTGTGCATGAGCAAAAATCCTGAAACCAGGCCTCCTCTGTTGCTGCAGCACTAGCTTCTACATCGCTTGAGCCAGTTTATATCTGGGCTCAGCTTTCAGTAAAACTGTGTTACTTTTTGTTGGTCTCCTATGAACCTTAAATATTTTGACGTTTCAGACATACCTGTGCTTTCATTCATTAGGAACAATCTTTGGGGATCGGCTGCTTGGTAGTACGCTTAGTATACTAACATGCATCAGGAGGCTGGGGTTGTGAAGAGGAATATAGAATAAAGGGAGATATTTAAAGTAAAATCCCTACTCTTTGCAAAATTTGTGTTTTGACAGGTCGTACTGGAAGAGCAGGGCACACAGGAAAAGCAGTAACTTTCTTTACAGAAGATGATAAACCTTTATTACGGAGGTAAGTTGGAAACGTGATAGAGCAAAAATGGTTTTTGTGTTTTGTATAGTGTACTGCTG